ATGAATTCGTGTAGAGAAACTTCTACGGCTAGATCGCAGGATGGAGGTAATATATGGTTAATTAAATTGGTAGCAATGCTAATGCTACGAAGTGATGGCTACTACAAACAGACCGATTAAGCGGGAGCCGTAACAGTGAGCACGTATTGGAATAAACAATTGTAAACGTCAAGATAATCCGATTGGAACGATCGGGAGGACTGAGGCCAGCAATGGTTCCGAGGTTCGTGTTTTTGTTGATTTAGTTAAATGCTTGTCTAACGGTTGGAGGTAAAAGAGGATAACTTGTCTATGAGGTTTGTACAGCAATTGTAGACAGGCCAACCTGAAGTAAACAGCGAGCTCTATTCATTTCGATCTAACGTTGGTGTCTGCTAGGACGGGCAGGAGTAGCCTGGCGAAAGTGATAGTAACGTCGATGTCTGGTTCGATGATAAAATGCAAGGGCATATAGCTGACAATGATCGGTCGAAACCACCTGAACTAATATCTTCCAGCCACAAAATCTCCCTTTGCAGCTCATTGAGTTAATTCAACTCCAAGCAAATGAATTTATTATGATGAGTTTATGAAAGTGTTTTGTGGGTTAGATAGTTTTATCCTCAACAAGGATGACTTCGGATGTGCCAGCTTTTTTATAACCATCAAACATGCATTTTCGTGCGTCACTTTCGGTTCGCTATCTTTGGCTGCCCATTTGGATAGATGAGCAGAGTGAAGATTGGAATGGCGAGAGCGGAACTGATGATTTTTTTAATAATTAATATTCAGCTGACTAGAAATTTTCCGGAATCCTCAAAAGACTCTTTAAATACGATTTATCATGAAACAACTCTTTGAGCTGCAGATAAAGATACTGTGACGGGATCTGTATCGAGAATGCAAGTTGACAGAACGGAAAAGCGCTGGATATACAACTACTTAACGTGCGATAAAAACCACAGGACATTTGTCGCTTCCGAAAATAGCTGGTCACTTATTCAGATGATACGTACTATTACCTTTTTGATGCTAACATACTTCATCAAAATATCTCAACTTAAAATGAGGTCAAATGAAAAAAGGAGTGATAAACCTCACATTACAGAAACAAAATCATGATATACGCAAAACAGGAGTGAGAAATATGATGATTCGGAAAATATAGCGACGTGGGCAGTAGGAATCATCAAGCACAGTCTACGGTAGAAAAGAACACACACGCATTCCATAAGTGAGATCAGAATTCAACAGGACAAATGCAATTTCTAAGTATGAACATGCATGCATACATATACATACGCCTACAGATATAAACATACATACACATACATATATGCATACATACATACAAAGGTACACCAGGGATTCTTGTACATCACATAGTCAGATTCTCCAAAAGCCCAAATCAAATTCTCAGCCTCACTTTTGCAGATAACCAGTAGTTAAAAATTACTGATCATTAGTGTATATTTCTTTATAAGTGCAGTATTGATTGACTGTGTCAATCACATCAACTAAACTGCGCCCAGAACACCTCACAGCTATATGTTTCGGTCAACGCATAGATGCTCACTCGCGTGCACCGAGCGGAGAGAAACAGTGTGCCTATGCGCATATGCACCAGAGTTCAGTCTACGCAGAACGCTTCGCTACTGATCGGCAATGTTTAGCTACTGAGTGTCTGAAGCAGTGAGACTGATTATTTGGTGTACGAGAATTCCTGATGTACCTGTACATATATAAATAAATGTATTTGCCCAAAAATGAACAAACAATAGGACAAGTTTGGCATACACCGGTTTAGTTGTACAGAAATCCCATTCAGGAATGGCAGGGTCCTTGTCATTCGAATTTTCAGTGTTCAGTTTGCCATTTCACCTGAACACATACTATGCATTGTCATATATATGTCTCTCGATCGAGATCAAGTGAAAGACGTTACTCACACATGGTTGTGCATGTTATCACAAGAAATAGAGGGGAAATAAGGTAAACAAAGTCATATTGTGGCATTAGACAATTAAGACAGAGGATTTGAACACAAGATTAAGTTACGTGAGCGAAATAATGTAAATTGCATGTTCAATGTCCTCGGACCAGATTATGCCTGATTAACCGAACCAGGTCTCGCGCTGGTCAGAGCGTAACTTTTCCTCAAATGATCAACGCAACAAGTGGGTTGAAGAAAATCTTCCAAATGGATCTATGGACAGCTGTGAATTCGTACTACTGTAGATAATTTTCTGAACAAGATTTTGAAATAGGGGAACAGATCGTTGAACTTTGCAGTTATTCGGTTAACGTATGTGTGCACGCCAGCGAGCGAGAGCGACAGAGAATGTACTCTAAAAGGAAACTGACTTAGTATTCGACTATGCTAAAGTATTCCGGTGCGCATGCATCCGGTAACGACCCATTCGTTATTTTGACACACCAAACACATACCAGAACAGTGTGCTACTAACGCTGTCGTAGTAAAGCACATATGAGGACGAACCGTGCCTAAGGTATCAAAACAGACAAGTGCATATGCGTATTTCGTCAGCGTAGACGAAATTCTTGATCTACACGCTATGCAACGCTGAATAAATTATGTCTCGCGGTAATGATCATGATGATGATGACGCTAATGATACCGAGGAACGATACTCTTTCGTGATGTGGTAGTATGCCGTATTACAATACAAAAAGCCTAACTGATAAGTTGTCATAGTTCGAGTGAAAGTGTCCGTCCTTGATAATCAACGCTGCATTCCTTGTGAAACCGATTTCAGAAAAGACCAAAATAGGGAGAGCTTGTTTAGAATACAGCTTGGTACTTCGATTACTCTGTAATTTTCCAGTTTCGCAGTTGTTCCTTGTCGTTTGGTATATACACGAACATACATAACATGATGTTAAGATTACCCATAGATTATTCTTACACGAGCGCACAAATAGAAATAGTGACTGATGACAATGACAGAACGAAACCGTGTTTGAGGGCCGCATGGATTAGGATGCAAGCACTAATAACTCAAATCATCCTCAAGACGGTTATTAGTAGCACGACGATTGGAGCGAATCTGCAGGGAGGGGATAGTTGCGGTTTATTAACCCTTCCCATCCCTGCTCCGCAGCGGAGTAATTGAAACGGCAAATGTAAGTGCTTAGAATGTCACTGGAGGTCTTATATTGTATTGAGAACACGACGATAACAAATCGATGCCCTAGATAAAAATCTAGTTAGCATTTATAAAGACCATGAAGATGTGAGCAGCTTCATTGGTAGCGAATAGAGATAAACGAAGTTGACGTTATGTATAAACACGCGGGCACAGACACACATTTCTGACGTGATCTGCATACCGGTTAATTCCAATACACGCCGACACACGCACACACACAAGCAAAAAACAACATTGTACACATAAACAGCGACCCGCAGAGAGGCACCATGATTGCGAGAAACACACCGTTACGACACACGAGCACATGGAATGTAAATAAGAACAGATAGGTGGAGATCGTGAAAATCGATCCACAGAGTATGCACGTTTTGTCGTACGTGAAACTCAAATGCAGCACATTCGAGCAATGGACTGAACATATAAGCGGAGACGAAAGTGATGACCAACTATATACAAGTGCAAGATCTGGACGAAGAGATGACCTATATCCTCGATCACAAAGAAATAGAAATCAGCTTAGTAAAGTTAGGTTTTAAAAAACTGACAGCAGCGGTTTCAGTTAGTGCAACTACTAACCGAACGCCGGATCTAGTGGCTACCTTTTGACTAGCAATTTGGTCGGTTACACTGAATATATAAATCAGAACAGCAACAAGCTAAGAGTACTATCGAACGAAAGATATTAAATGTAAGTAAACTAGATTTGCATCGAAAGGGAGAAGCACGTGTGCCACCGCTCACGAGACTCGGCCATTTCGTTCAGTTTACGTAACTCTTAGGTTGGTGGCGAGTTCCACAACCAAGAAGTTCAACGTGATCTGAGTGATCGAGTCTCCTGGATGGGTTTTCATGCCAGGTCTCACTTTGACTACCCTTGTTTCGTGATGTTTCGCAAGCTGATGGACGATCTGCCGTTCGGGATCCGCTCTCAGCTTCATGCATCCAATAAGACAGGTGGAACATGGACGGGACAACACCTTATTGGTTGGGGGCTGCCCAGCTTGGGTGGAACGAGGCTGTCCATTGAACCACGAAGACGTCTCCTACTGTCCGCAGGAAGCCTCAGGTACCTCTCTACTACATATATCTAACGGGGGTTTTGACCGATAAACGGGTCTTGTGCTTATTTTCTGGAATGGCTTCTACAGAGGCAATAGTGGGCGGATAAGGGAAGATAAAAGATGCCCAACTAGTTGACCCTAGTGAGACTGCGCTTCAACCTCTACCCAACGACTCGTTATGCACGATCGGATCTGGGTTGCGTAGCTCGCCGGATCACGGAGGCACGCAAGTTTTCGTAACACGTCAAGATGGAATAGTAACGATGCTACGTTGTCACATTTTCATTGATCACTGTATTTGTTTTCTTTCCAACAAGTGTTTATAATACATATTCGCCATATAAAAACATATTTAACGGATGTGTTTTCAGCTTAGCTGTCTTCAGTGAAGTTTACTTGACGTTAATTATGTTCGATTACATTTGAAAATAAGCATGCAGATCAAACAAGGACAATCCTTATGTATTAATTCCCCTGAAACAGTACAAAGATGATAGAACAACATAGCAAAACCTAAGAAACATAAAACGCGTTTAAACATTCTACTCGGAAGAATAGACATTGATCAAACAATTAAGAACAATATATTAGTTGCATGATAATCAGGTCGTATCACAATATGCGTTAACAACCCAGGTCTTGAGCGGGTAGATTCCGAAATCCCGAATTCTTGATTCTGATAAAAAACGGCGATGAACATAATCAACGAAAAGAAAAATGAACCTGGGACTAATGTGAAAAGGGAGTTTTCCCGTTAGTAAGGATAGTCATAAAAAATGAAACTTACTAGGTAATGCGTGAAGTAGGGATCCGCATTGGTCCCCGGATAATGTGACATCGGCCCGGGACTTTGCTGCTGTGGATGAGCAGTTGGGCCCCCCATGCTCGACTGAGACATGTATACTGGCCGGTGCGGATGTGTCAATCCAGACATCCCTGGGTTGTCGGACATGTATGACGCGGACGTCATTGGATAGGTCGGTTTTGTCGGAGTGATCGAGCCAGGAATTCCAGTGGCAGAACCTGGAGGTGGCTTTCCATAGCCTACTGGAGACTGTGAGGTCATAGTGTTGGTGGGTGGCGCATTGCTAGCTGTCAGTGTGGATGCAGCTGCTCGATTTGCAGCAGCCGTTTTTCGTTTCTTCCCCCCTGCTTTACCCACACCAGAATTGGAACGCCCAGTTGTAATGGGAGCACTCGCATTAGTCGCAGCGCCACTTGTGGTGGTAGATGCCGTCGGCACAGACAAGGATACAGGAATCCCAGAACCAATGGGAGGTGATCCGATAGCAGCACCACTCGGAATTGAACCCATACGCGTCCCAGGTACAGGTCCTGTGGGTTGCATTGGGCCGGAGAACATGCCTGGTTCGTTCATCGGGACTTGAGACATCATCGGATGAGGCGCATTGGATGCAGCCCAAGGATCATTCGCAGCAACAGGACCATGATAAGGGCGCTTATGTCCAGATGGAACCATACCTATCGGAAGTTGCTGGTCTGGACCCGGGTAACCACTCATAGTCGAAGGCATCGGTCGGAAATGCTGCGGAGCTGCTGTCATAGGACCAGAAGCAGACGGTGGAGGAGGATACGCAGAATTCGCGGAAGTGAGATTGGTGTTGTTCGGTGGAACCATAACCACTGGAGGCCCAATACCAGGACTGTCTATAGGAGGGCCGAAGTGACGCGCGTTCGGTCCACAACCCGGATGATCCATCATCATCTGATTAGACATCATTGCACTGGGAGGAAGAGCACTCCCATGAGGTGATGTGGATGGATCGGTAGGCATGATTGGACATCCGTTTGGGTCATACATGATCGGCTGTCGACAAGAGGGATGAAATCTAGGTCCAGGTGGTTCACCCTTTTCACGC